CCGTGTAGTTCTGGGCTGATTCCTCACCGTTCTCATGATCATTGCAACTCCACAAGGTGAGATCTTGCATGGAGCCCCAAGCCGAGGGAGATTGACAGTTATTTTGTGTTTCTTCCATTTGCGAATAATCGCACCAACTGTTGTCACCTTCTCACCAAGCTGCTTGGCGATGGTCTGTAGCCCATTCCAGCCTTGTGTAGGTCTACAATCTTGTCCCTGACATCCTTGGAGAGCTCTTTGGTCTTGGCCATGGTGGAGAGTTTGGAATCTGATTGATTGATTGCTTCTGTGGACAGGGGTCTTTTATACAGGTAACAAACTGAGATTAGGAGCACTCCCTTTAAGAGTGTGTTCCTAATCTCAGCTCGTTACCTGTATAAAAGACACCTGGGAGCCAGAAATCTTTCTGATTGAGAGGGGGTCAAATACTTATTTCCCTCATTAAAATGCAAATCAATTTATAACATTTTTGACATGCGTTTTTCTGGATGTTTTTGTTGTTATTCTGTCTCTCACTGTTCAAATAAACCTACCATTAAAAGTATAGACTGATCATTTCTTTTTCAGTGGGCAAACGTACAAAATCAGCAGTGGATCAAATACTTTTTTCCCTCACTATATCTGTCTGTCATCAATCATGAAGGCTTTGCAGAGTCGCTCCTGGAATCAGAAATACAAAAATACGGTTTAGCAGCATAACACCATAATGCTGCCGGCGCACACACCAACCATCCTCTCTCTCTCTCTCTCTCTCTCTCTCTCTCTCTCTCTCTCTCTCTCTCTCTCTCTCTCTCTCTCTCTCTCTCTCTCTCTCTCTCTCTCTCTCTCTCTCTCTCTCTCTCTCTCTCTCTCTCTCTCTCTCTCTCTCTCTCTCTCTCTCTCTGTCACCTCTATGGTAATGCACTAACCCTGCCTGGTGAGTCAGATGGGAATACTGTAATGGGTCAATCACCTGATGGGTTTATCACCCTTTAAATGGGCTGCCAATTTACCTGTGTGTGTGTGTGTGTGTGTGTGTGTGTGTGTGTGCGTGTCAGAACTACAGATACAGGACATTGTACACTGGACCCATGTACTGTATGACTATTCTTCTGTCCAATGTGTTCAGGCTTAGAGGAAAGTGTCGTTACCACCTCTCCAGGGCCGGATTAATACAGGAGTTTACCGGGGCTGAAGCCCCAGGGCCCAGAAAATGAGCTTTAAAACAGCAAAATATTATCTGCACCCCATGACAAAATGTGTAGAATTGCAGGAAATAAACCTGCCAAATTTAGTCTCCGCCAAAAAGAGGGCTGTGAACAGTTTGTGTCATGAACAGTGCTTGTGCCCATAGAAAAATACGTGACACTCGTGCGCGCATGTGGGGGCACGGGATGGGAACCCCTGCCATAACATATACACTATATATACAAAAGTATGTGGACACCCCTTCAAATTAGTGAATTCAGCTATTTCAGCCACACCCGTTGCTGAAATATGTATAAAATCGAGCACACAGCCATGCAATCTCCATAGACAAACATTGTCAGTAGAATGGCCTTACTGAAGAGCTAAGTGACTTTAAACGTGGCACGGTCATAGGATGCCACCTTTCCAACAAGTCAGTTCGTCAAATTTCTGCCTTGCTAGAGCTGCCCCGGTCAAATGTAAGTGCTGTTATTGTGAAGTGGAAACGTCTAGGAGCAACAACGGCTCAGCCGCGAAGTGGTAGACCACACAAGCAGCCTCACATAAGCATAAGATCACCATGCGCAATACCACGCGTCGGTTGGAGTGGTGTAAAGCTCACCGCCATTGGACTCTTGAGCAGTGGAAAAGCGCTCTCTGGAGTGATGAATCACGCTTCACCAGCTGGCAGTCTGACGGACGAATCTAGGTTTGGAGGATGTCAGGAGAATGCTACCTGACCCAATGCATAGTGCTAACTGTAAAGTTTGGTGGAGGAGGAATAATCTGGGGCTGTTTTCATGGTTCGGGCTAGGCCCCTTAGTTCCAGTGAAGGAAATCTTAACACTACAGCATACAATAACATTCTAGATGATTCTGTGCTTCCAACTTTGTGGCAACAGTTTGGGGAAGGCCCTTTCCTGTTTCAGCATGACAATGCCCCCGTGCACAAAGCGAGGTCCATACAGAAATGGTTTGTCGAGATCGGTGTGGAAGAACTTGATTGGCCTGCACAGAACCCTGACCTAAATCCCATCGAACCCCTTTGGGATGAATTGGAATGCCGACTGCGAGCCAGGCCTAATCGCCAACATCAGTGCCCGACCTCACTAATGCTCTTGTGGCTGAATGGAAGAAAGTCCCAGCAGCAATGTTCCAACATCTAGTGGAAAGCCTTTCCAGAAGAGTGGAGGCTGTTATAGCAGCAAAGTGGGGACCAACTCCATAAGAATGCCCATGATCTTGGAATGAGATGTTCGACGATCAGGTGTCCACATACTTTTGTATGTAGTGTACTTTGTATCCCTTGTTAACCCAAGTGTTTGCTTTATTTTGACAGTAACCGGTATGCCTACAGTTGAGAAGGCCGCAGTATAGAAACAATTTGGCTCTACAGACAGATTATTAAAAAAACGAAGGAAGACAAGCACATACGCACATACAGACGCGCATGCATGCACACACATGCTTCAGGCAGGCTAGTGTTCTGTTAATGGCCATTTTGAGAAAACAAGTGTAACTGGCATCAAGTTGTTCCTTAACAGCTTTGCTTCCTTACTCACAAGCCCACACTGGGTTGTCGTGACGTGACTTTCATTTATGTGATGACTGTTATTTATCAAATAATTACCTACTATGTTTAATTGTTACTCGATTAAATGAATCATGTAACAATTAACTCATTAGGAATTTGGGGCACCACGGGAGAAGTTGTTTAACGAGTTACAATCTCCCGAATTAAACTCAATAATATATAGATATCGATAACAGTAACTTATTAATCATTTACCTCATATCAGTCTCATTCTGAATGTCACAGACTTCTTGAATCTGCACAAACCCGAGTCTTGCTGATCATTCCATACCACACAAATTGATTTGATTATTTATTTACTACCAAACTAAATGATAACACAGGATACACACACACACACACACACACACAGTATAGGTTATTGATTAGAAACTTAATACGATGACGACAGGTCCCTAGCGGACTAACACAATATGACACTTGTTACAAAAGATGGAGCCCTTTTGGGTAAGAAGTAAGGTCTTCGTCGTGTATCTCTGTTGGACCCAGGCCTTTGTGGAAAGGGTTCGATTGGGCCTTCTCCTTCGGATGGGCCTTCTACTTCGTTCTCAGGTGTAAGGCTCTGATTGTCCAAAAGAGGTCCCAATGTCCTTCTTCTTAGTTGTCTGTTTACTTTCACTCGTTCTGGAAGTGGTCTTCTGAGGACAGCTAATCAGCCATGTCGATGATCCCCAGTGGGGTGATTAGAGCAGTGTAGTAGACAATGGTTTGAAGAGAGTAACAGGATGGTCCCACTTAAATTCACCTTCTTAGATACAGTACTTAGAACAGCTACTCAGCCGTAACATTGATTGTTAGAGAGGCGACTTTGTCGTCTTCACCTCGTGTTGATTTTCAGGATCGTAACCAATGGAGACAAAAGCTGCAGCTTGAGTCCGTCTGGTCTGGTCTGTTAATTCTTAACTCAATCTTTTATACCCTCGGGTAAAAAGGGGCATTTTCTGGGTATCTGTCAGCCATTTGCCAAGCTGACCTGGCACCTTTGATCCTCACCAAGGAGAGTCATGACAGGGTCTTGAGCTTGTGGCTTTTGTCTTTGAAACGCACGTGACCGGCCCTCTTGAAACACATTAGCCAGCTGCACCACCGAAAAGCTAGCAATTCGATGGCTAGGGTATTTCAACCTGAGGAGTGAGTTTAACTAACTCACCTCAGTTACACAAACAAACAGTTCTCTTTTCATTCTGAATGATGCCATCAGACAACAGTTTACAGCAATCAGCCACATAACAGTTTCACTGCATTACGTTTCCTCCACACGCTGCTATGCTCTGGGCAGCCATCCAGAGTTTAAATACCTATGCCGGCTAAACATGTACACAGAGGTACAGTATGTGTGTGTTTCTGCTACCCTTCATGTAGATCAAAGGAAGCTGAGTTTGGGCCGTTGATAAAAGGAGAGGCTCAGGGAATGTTCTGGGGATGTGGAGTTTGAAATGAGGGGAGTTGATGATGACGTCAATGCCATTTTAATGGACCCCTTTGTAACAGAGGTGGTTTGGTGAACCACGCTCGCATAAGGAATTAACCTAGCCTGAGACCTGAAGATCTCCCTGAACTAATACCTAACCTTTAGCTCAGCAGGCTAACACAGTCTAGTGGTGTGCAAACGACACAGGTTCAATCCAAGCCAATTCATACCTAGTCCTTATGCCTCAGGTGCACGCACAAATGTGTAAGTCAATGCATTGTTGACTCAATCAATGCAACCAAAGCGAGAGCCTCTATAGGCTACTATGTCAACACCATCCACAAGCAACTGATCCATAACATTGAGAAGAGCACAAGATGATCCAAGGTGGCGAAAGCAATATTGGACTAATACTATTGGCAAAGAAAGAAAGTATTTGTATATCTTTGGCTTCTTTACAATAACATAATTATCCTAAATCATTCCAAAGAGGGAAGGCAATGGAAATCACCTTCTCTTATTCAGTGAAAAGCATATTTAGTTTAGTCTGTTACTCACGTCAGTGCTCTTCTCCCTGCTGATATTATTTTCCCCCTTTGAGAGAATTGATCGAGCATACTTAGCCCAGTGAGGGCTGTGATTGGCTCTCTGTCTGTGTGTGAGCACTGTAGTTGTATAAAACCCCAACTGTGGGAGGAGATTTCACTAAGACACAGCATACCACTGACACACTGACAGGACTAACAGTCATACTATTACAGACTTCTCCTCTGCACTCTAAACCACTGCAAATCATTATCCTAGATTTGGATTGAGTAAGCATACAACATGTGTAAGGGATTAGCAACACTGCCTGCAACCTGCTTGAAAAGGTAAGATGGTTATTCTAGTTTGTTAGCATGTTGTTGTAGATCACTATCAACATGTGTGGAACATGTATTGACTTGTATGGAAGAGGATGCATGCAACAGTAACAGTTGGAAAATGCTTGGTTTAAAATTTGAAACAAGTAATGCAACATGTGAGATTCTAACAACTGAAAGATGTAATGTCTGTGCTGCAATGGGATATTTTCAGACAGTAATGTATGTTGTATACGAGCCTTGTGTGCCAGGCATCTTGGTTCTGCTATAAGTGCATTACATATAATAGGACACACCACTGTGTCTTAATGAGATGTTTTAATACATTCTGTAGCCTAACACTACCCACTTTCTCTCCTCCCTCAGTGCCAAAGACATTAAACACAAGATTGGCTTTCTGCTCCAGAAGCCTGAGTTTCCACCAGACCAGAAACCGGTCAAAGAGAAGACCACCGCTGCCAAGAGGTGAGTGTACAGGAGAATAATGACACTTTGAATGTATTGATTGATTGATTTATAATTTATTTATAAAGGACATTTCTTTGAGATTAAGGATCTATTTTACCAGGGATACCTGTTATATGACAGCAGCAAATAAACACTTGATACTCAATATCATACAGACTGAACAAAAATATCAATGCTACATGTAAAGTGTTGGTCCCATGTTTCATGAGCTGAAATAAAAGATCCCAGAAATGTTCCATACGCACAAAAAGCTTATTTCTCAAAAATGTTGTGCACAAATTTGTTTACATCCCTGTTAGTGAGCAATTCTCCTTTGCCAAGATAATCCATCCACCTGACAGGTGTGGCATATCAAGAAGCTGATTAAACAGCATGATCATTACACACCTTGTGCTAGGGATAGTAAAAGGCCACTCTAAAATGTGCAGTTTTGTCACACAACTCAATGCCACAGATGTCTCAAGTTTTGAGGGAGCGTGCAATTGGCATGCTGACTGCAGGAATATCCACCAGAGCTGTTGCCAGAGAATTGAATGTTCATTTCTCTACCATAAGTCACCTCCAACGTCATTTTAGAGAATTTGGAATTACGTCCAACCGGCCTCACAACCGCAGACCACGTGTAACCACACCAGCCCAGGACCTCCACATCCGGCTTCTTCACCTGCGGGATCGTCTGAGACCAGCCACCCGGACAGCTGATGAAACTGAGGAGTATTTCTGTCTGTAATAAAGCCCTTTTGTGGGGAAAAACTCATTCTGATTGGCTGGGTGCCCCTGCCCAGTCATGTGAAATCCATAGATTAGGGCCTAATGAATTAATGCAATTGACTGATTTCCTTATATGAACTGTAACTCAGTAAAATCGTTGAAATTGTTGCATGTTGCGTTTACATATTTTTTCAGTTTAATATTGAACAACACACTAGAGATCATAGATAAAATAGCCTTCAGACTCCATTAAATTAATTTATCACACCATGGGGAATAATGCTCTTAAGGCAATAACCATTGAACACGTGGGTAAATAGGTTTTAATGCAGGTCTACCCGCTGGGCACAGACGTCATTTCAATGTCTAGTTTTGATTTACATTAGGTTAAGTTGTCAACTGATGTGAATTCAACGTGAAATCAACATAACATGTCACCATGTCCTTGTATTTAGGTTAAAGGTTGGGTGAAAAAAAGACAAAATTCCCTTACCTGAATGACTTTCTGCAAATCCAATCAGTTTTCAACATTGATTCAACGTCATCACATTTATTTTTGTTGTTGAAAGGATGTGGAAACAACATTGATTCAACCAGTTCTTGCAACTGTTTAGCATCTGTTGTCCCTAAACTAGTTAGCATAGACAACATCCAGCCTGACTTTTTATTTCATTAGCGCTAAATCTAATCAACCTAATCAATCTAATCTAATCTAACCTGATGAGAAAAAATTTATGCAACCCCTTAATTGCAACCTCACAATTTGCATTAATATTGATCAACTTTGATCATCTGATTGTAGCCAATGTAGGTGATATCATTTGACTTCGGAATAAAAAATTTAAATGGTACTTTCAGTTAAAAAACAATCCCTTTAAAATAACGCATTCTATCATGGCATTTGCCTAGCGGCATACAGTTCAGCAGAAGCGTTTTTAGGATTTACACACATGGGGGGGAAATCTTAGGCCTACATGACAGGAGACATTATCAGAATCCTTTTTAATACTACACAATGACCAAAATGTGTGGCTACCCTGACACTGTCAAACAGATACATAAAAACGCATCTTAGGCTAAGTTCATTGTTGAAAATAGGATCCTACGGTTCTAAGATGAACTTAGCCTTAAAATGCTTTTGAGAAACCGGACCTTGGTCTTGACCTGGCCCAGTGCCAATAAAAAGAAGGGCGACACACAGATTGTACAATATTAGGAGGAAATATATAACTATTATATACTGCAGTAGGCTACTAAATCAACTTTCCAGTGGCACTGACTCACCCAATGATGAAGATAACATGAATATGCATAGCCTAGGCTTCTCACCGTACCTGTGATGGTCTCAAGATAAACCAGAGCACACTTTAAAATACAGTACTGTTCGTCCGAGTTGTTGAGAAAGAAAATGGTAGCTTCTACTGACAAATTAGTTTTCTCTTTTCAGCAGTAGGCATTTGCTTTCCAAACCTTTTTCCCGCGATTGTATTTAGAAATTTGCTAAAAGCCTTTAGCTATACACTGAAAGCGCATAGAGAAATAAAATCAGTAGAAATAGAATCCATAGAATGAAAGTGCCCATTCAAGTCAGGACTGACAGCCATTTTGAGCATACCCATGAGTTTACCAGTCAAATTACCAGGGTGAGGTTCCAAAACCCTTTTCCAGCTAGCACATTTGGTTCCTTGGAAGTTGTGGGAATGTACGTTTTTTGATATCCCATTGGTTCTGGGAACGAAGCCATAAGTTTCCTGACCGTTAAAACATAACGTTTATTTTACGTTCGGAAAACAGAATGTGATTTTTTACATTACAGGGAGGCTCTGAGAAAGTTTTTCTATGGTTCCCAGAAAGTTTTCCTGGGAGGTTTTATTAACGTTCTGAGAACACAAATTATGAGTTATTTGAATAACATTCTGAGAACATGTTTCAATAAGACTTTTAATAACACTGCTACTTTAACTGTTTTGAACTCCAAGCACAGATAGGACACATATAAATTCAGTTGCTTAGGCATTAATCATGCAAACACATGTCTTTTTTATTCTGGCATGACAACCTATGATCTTCTGCTCTCTAACCATGGGATTAGTCCACTGCGCCACCAGGATGGAGCTAACATGCCATGTTTTTTTAAACTCATACAAGGCTATTCATTTCAGTCTATTCAAACACCCTATTTCAAAGGAAACAAGCATTCATTAAGATCAGGTGTAGCCAATTAGTGGGCTCGACCAACACACCTGAACACATTTAACAAGATAGTAGATAGATCGTTTTGTTGATGCTGATAATGGAATGTATTTGTTTTAAAATAACATTAGAACGTTCTTTGAACGTTACTAATGTTTTCTTGTGGTTCTTATGGAAGGTTTTCTTAATGTTCTGAGAAGAGGTCTTTAAATTGAACCATGAGGAAACCTGCAGAAAACTTTATGCTGAAGTACTGGAATTCCCACAGAAGAATGTTGTTTTTCAACATTCTCTGAACATTCTGAGAACATTACTTTAAATAGGACCATGAGGAAACCTGTAGGAAAAGTTATGGGAAGGTTGTATGCAATATAACCATAGGACAACCACGCTCTAAGAACATGTGGTTCTCAGAACGTTATGTGCTAGCTGGGTGCTATGGATTATATTCTATGGCCGCAACTCAACAATCTGTTCGATATTTTGCGTGTATGCTGCCCAAATTCAGTGTGTTTAGACAGGAGTAATTATATAATTTTGGAAACATTATTTACATTTATCAGGGGGTGCTGCATCAGCTTCAGCACCCCTACATCCCGCGGCTATGGTCCTCCTGCTCAGTATCATTCTGTTTCTCCAAACAAACATTTCTAAGTTGCTCCAAACGTTCAATTTGGAAGTATAAGGTTTTGGATAGGGTTAAAACATTAAGTTTATGGACTCATTCCGAATGGTTAAGGGTCCAGGGTCATGGGATTAAGCCCATCCACCACTCTGTTCACAACCGCGCAAAACCCCAAACCTACTTGATGGTAATAGCGCTCACTGTTGCCCCTAGTGGCCGGTTTTGAAGGCATTTCCCGATGTCCTCAGAACATGGATAGATGTCCAATTTCGAAGTCTCTCTTCAGCGATCTGCCTGATAATGTTATAAAATGGTTGGTTACTCATTAGCTCAAATAGGTGAATAATGTAAATAAATTATGGTTACTCAGTAGCTCGAAGAGGTGCACCCGGTATGGCTAATGCTCATGGAAAATACAGTTGTCAATGTCATGTTGTAAAGAACATTATGAAATCTACTGGTAGGCTATCATTAAAATACAGGTCATCAGCAATATGTAGGTCAAGAACTGTGAGATATCACACAACAGATGTACTGAAATATTTCAAATATTATTGTTTCTCCCAGTAATACAGGTGTACAGTATAATAATTATGCTCTTTCTCTGGTTTTAGAGGTTCACCTGCTGATGTTGAGAAATGGAAGCTGTCCTTCAACGACCTGATGAATTGTGAAGGTGAGTTTCTCACAAACCGAAGAGACATCTTTAGAATACTGTAGGATTGGGGAGTTTATCTTGCTCAAATGTGCTCAAATGTGATGGTTTACTGAATTGAAAAGTTGTATTGATTTTGAATTTAATTGAAGCACTCTACTGCCCCTTGTGTAGAATTCCTGAACTCCCGAATCTCTGACAAAACTCTACCATGACCTATTACCAGCATACACTCCAGACGTGTGCTACGTGTCTGGAGGGTAAGCTGGGTAGCCCCTAGGCGCCTGCTGCTCTGCTCCCTCCTTGTGTGTGTGTGTGATGCGCAGGTTGAACCATAACTTGTGTGGATGAAGGGCGGGTGGGTGGTGGGCAGGTTGAATAAAGAGAAAACAATGCATGGTTTTTAAAAGTTATTTTTCTTCATAATTTTTTTCTGTTTTTTGTAAGTTTTATTTTTCCATTATTTTTATCTGGCATTAGTGCCTAACTGTACCCGTCAAATACACACCAATCGCCAAATGCTTTTGGGAACTTGGGCAGAAAAAGTTAACGACGATCGACTGAGGCAAAAATAACAATGTTAAATTGAATTAAATAAGAGAAATGCTGCGAAATGGAGAGTTAACTTGAAAATAAACAGAAGGGAGGGACTGAACAGCAATGTTTGGGATAGATTTGGTGAAAAGAGGATGATAGCAGTGCCGGCTATGTTATGTGTGATGATTATGAGGCGCTATACAAATTCCACAGTCACAAGTCGGGGACTTCAGAATGGCACGTCAAGGGAACTGTAGGCTCAGATGGGCTAAATGGAATAGTTGCCAAATTGAAATCTGGACACTGACTGTAGGTCTATAACCTCTCACATATCCTTATATAATATTAGCCTAACTTCTGCAGGATTAAGCATTTCTTGCAGTAAAATGATACACCAAATTTACATTTTGAATCCGGAACAGGAGTGGAGAAATAGGCTATAATTTATTTATTTCAGCATCTTGCTTCACAAAGATGAAAGAGAACTTACCATGTCAACTAGATTGAAGCATTAATTCCATCGATTTATGACATTATTCTGTTGAGCAAGGGTTTATTTAGTCTTCTAGGATAACAAGTAATAACAGAAGAGAAGCTGCATGTACATATAGCCTACCAAAATGTCGGAAATTATAAGCAGATAAAAAATCCTGCACCCCCTTTCAATAAATCGTTCTGCCATCTCTGACTCTACAACCCATTTTCTATATTTGCGGGTTAGGGTCGGGTGCGGGGCACAGATTTTCACTTTATCACATATAGTCGGGTGGTTGCGGATGGGTTATTAGCAATTGCGGGCAGGTGCTGGTGAACAAACAGCTGACCCACGCATCACTAGTGTGTGTGTGCTGACAGTCCATGTGGTGTCAGGCTGTCTGTGGGGACACCCAACCTAGTCTCAGAGCATTTCGTATTATTCTGTACGTACATCCAGGACACTCCATTTAGTATGATATGTTACCTTTCGTATGGTATGTATTAATTTGTATATGTCCAGCACCCATTTCGTATGATATGTTACTAATTAGCAAAACGTATGATATGTTATGAATTCTAGCTAGGTCGCTAACGTTAGCTAGCTGGCTAACGTTAGCTAGGCTAGGGGTTAGGGTTAGGGGTTAGGGTTAAGTTTAGGAGTTAGGTTAAAGGTTTAAGGTTAGGGTTAGGGGAAGGTTTAGCTTAACGGGTTAAGGTTAGGGTTAGGGTTAGCTAACATGCTAAGTAGTTGCAAAGTAGCTCAAAAGTAGTAAATAGTTGAAAAGTTGCAAATTAGCTAAAATGCTAAAGTTGTCCATGATGAGATTTGAACTCACAACCTTTGCGTTGCTAGATGTTAGCGTTATATGGCTACCCATCCACCCCAACCAACGACCCTACATTCATTTTTGCCTTAAATAACAATCTGTCTTATGTAACCATACCAAACGTAGCATATCATACTAATTTGAGTGTTCCGGATTTACTTCTACTATGTTACGTCTAGTTTATGAGACCAGGCTGCGACACAGAGCAGGAGCAACATCTCCTGAGAACCATCCAGGCCTTGACCTCCACCACTGACTCCCTACAGAGGATGCGCGACTCTATATCGCGATACGAGCGAGCGAGGATTAAAGTGAGCGAGAGAGAGCTAGAGCTGATAGACCTAGCTCGGATAGTCACTCTATCTCTCTGCGCTCTCTATCGCTCTCGCTCTGATCTCACTTCTCTTCTCTCTCTCTCTCTCTCTCTCTCTCTCTATCTCTCTCTCTCTCAACCCCCCCGAACACTCAACCCAGCACCCAGGAAATATGTCTGGATGTTACACATGCTAAGTAAGAGGAACTGAGACTAATCTAACCTATCCTCTTTCTCTCTTTGTCTGTCTGTCTGTCTGTCTGTCTGTCTGTCTATCAGGTGGTCGTACAATGTTCACTGCGTTCCTGAAGTCAGAGTTCAGCCAGGAGAACATGGAATTCTGGAACGCTTGTGAGGAATACAAAAAGTCTGCCCAAAACAAGATGGCGGCAAATGCCAAAGAGATCTACGAACAGTACATCGAGGCAGACTCTCCAAATGAGGTCAAATGGAAATAAGATTTGGCATGTTTACGGCATGATCATAAAACTTTTTATATTTTTCATTATTTAACCAGGCAAGACAGTTAAGAATACATTCTTATTTAAAATGACAGCCTGGACATATGCAAATATTATGTCAACCAAGCAAGAGCAACACAACCTATACCAACTGAGAGACACTCTCAAAAGCGGGTTAAAACTATAATTTTGATATCATCATATCATTTTGATGTCTATGAATTTGAGAGTGGTTACATTTCTCCATCCCCATACCTCATTTTTTCACCAAAACAGTGGTGGGGAGAACGCTTTGTTATTGTTTCATCTGTGGATTACCTCTTCAATGATTCCCCCCTTCCTAAAAACACCTGTTGTTTTTCCTTTGGGATTGTCCTTTTGGATTTGTATAGCAATTTGTAAGGCACATTATGTTGATACAGTATCCATGTTTTAATGCATTACTTATACAGTGTGTATCTATTTTTCCCTCTCCCTATCAGGTGAACCTGGACTCAGCAACGCGAGAGGAGACCAGACAGAACCTGTCTATTGCCGGCCTATCCTGTTTCGACAACGCCCAGCAGAAGATATTCACTCTGATGGAGAAAGACTCATACAGACGGTTCCTCTGCTCCAAACTGATCCAGGATCTGTCCCTGTTGCCCACTACCACCCCACTCTGTGTGCTGAAGATGAAAGGAGGGAAAATAGGCTGTTCTGAGAACAGATGTGGTGCATAGATGGAGATGGAGAGAGAGAGAAACAAGGACAGATTGAAGAATGTGTCAAATTTTGTCAATCTGTGAGGGAAAAAGCAGGTAGTCTTGAAGAGAAAACGGATTATTATGAGTGGGTGGGGTTTTATTTTTTCCGTCCATTGTTCCAGATAACTATTTCAACACGCATCACAAATTGATTATTTTTGAGACGAGGGGATGGTTGGAGAGGGAGAGAAAACTGTCAGAGATGTGATTTTTCAGGAAGAAATATGCTCCTGAAAGGATGCTCCTTTCCTTGATTTTCATTGTTGTGCGAGGGTCTGCTTTCTTTCCACTGAATATCTTCCAGAGCTCTAACAAATGGTTCAAACAGGCATTTAGGTATTTCACTCTGGTCAGTTCCCTGTGTCCCCTCTGTCTGGCTTTAATCAAGAGCTCAAAGCTAAGTCATGCTTAAACACCAATAATGCTTTCCGGCTTGAAAATGCTCTTCCTCAAACTGAGTGATAAATTAGATGATAGTTTCTGAATGGAGATAACTAAGGCTGGATTGGTGTTAAAAGCTTATTTCACCTGACTGATGTTTTGTTTGACACTGTTTTTCTGTCTTTACTTTACCTGTGGCCAGTTTGTGCACTGCTAAGGTGTAACTCACTTGCCCTCTGTTAACCTGCCAACAAAGTCATGACCAGGTGATGTTTTGATTCACAACACAGGGAGAAACAATCTGGAATTACTTCTCTATCCACCCCTAACACACACACAGACACACTGACACGCACACACTCCCATTTGAGCAATTCAGCGACTGTTACACTTTCCTTGCTTCACCTGATCCTTTCCTGTTGTGCTTATGAAGTAACCCCACAGACAGTCAGACATGCTTCTGAATGGACATCATCTGAACAATTTGAATGTTGTCCCTCAGCTTCGTTTCACCGCATGAAGGTAGCAAATTACCCACATGTACATTACAGAACTGGGACAGAAACACAACACACCTGCCAGTGCTGGAAATCTTCTTCCGTAGCTTAATACATGAGAACGGGCCTTCACATATGTCTATATTCTTATTAAATTATTAACATTTAGCTTAAATATCCATGGCTGTAAGCTTTGTGTTCATTACATGAAAGCTGCTCAAATTATAGCTTTGTTGGTATTGTATTTTGATAATAACTCCCTGTATTGCTTATTGTAAATTATTTATGTTATATTGTTATTGGTAATGCTATTGATATCATTATATGGTTATTGGTAATGCTATTGATATCATTATATGGTTCTGTAAGTTTTGTTTAAACATGACTCCTACTCGCCTCCAATGATGATGGCTAAATATTTATTGTAAAATGTAATAATCATGTTTATATTTATTTTATTTTCCTATTCACGTTTATTCATAATTTATTTGTGAATAAAACAATGTATCACAGAGTTGGTTACTTATTTTCAGACATTTACCCAAATGAACGAAAGGCCAATATTGTAAAACTTACCAGTGTCGAAAACATACATATGCTAATTTCAGCACACTAGCTGTACTTATTCTATTTAAGGCAATGTGCAGTTTCCTACGACCATGTATTCCAATAGGTTTCAACATTCTATTGCCCTGTATAAACTGAATACATCACCACTGAAAAAATTCAGATTTAATTAGTTCATCTGTTGATAAACAGAGAAACGGGACGACAGAGAGTTACACAGACACCAGTTTAAACTACTTGAAACTATGGACTGCTCTCAGTATAAATATTGCTTTTACCTCCCACTGTAGAGGACACAGTGCTAGTGACAGACGATATGCGCCAGTACACAATATTCCTACTAGTTTATTACCACAGACTGCAACTTTAATGTGGAAAAGACAGTATTTACATACATACAACTTGGCATAAGAGTTGGGCAAAAATAGAAGAAGCAACTGTACAGAAGACTAGGTTCACTCACTCTTTGCTTCTCCCATACGTGGTCTTGACCCGTGCTATCACAAGCCATAATTAGAAAGATAAGGTCTTACGTCAATGGCCTGATGCAGATCACATCGATTCAAAGGTTATTTGTGTGTCACTGAAAGCACTTGTGGAAGCAGTGGACATATTTTAAAAAAGGAAGTTTAATATTACCTTTCGCACAGCTCTCATTGGTGCCAACAACAGACAGTGTAATTTGTTTGCCATTAAAGCTTGTTTATTCAGAGCCACAGTGAAGATACACTACATGGCCAAAAGTATATGGACAACCCTTCAAATTAGTGGATTCGGCTATTTCAGCCACACCCGTTGCTGACAGGTGTATAAAATCGAGCACACAGCCATGCAATCTCCATAATGTTGCTTGATTGGTTGTTAGGCTATAGCTGGCCAAAAGTGGGCTACATGAAAAGAGTAATACTGTTAATATAACCGTGTGTAACTGTGGGGTTTCAGTAAATGTATGTACAGTGGGGAGAACAAGTATTTGATACACTGCCGATTTTGCAGGTTTTCCTACTTACAAAGCATGTAGAGGTCTGTAATTTTTATCATAGGTACACTTCAACTGTGAGAGACGGAATCTAAAACAAAAATCCAGAAAATCACATTGTATGATTTTAAAGTAATTAATTTGCATTTTATTGCATGACATAAGTATTTGATCACCTACCAACCAGTAAGAATTCCGGCTCTCACAGACCTGTTAGTTTTTCTTTAAGAAGCCCTCCTGTTCTCAACTCATTACCTGTATTAACTGCACCTGTTTGAACTCGTTACCTGTATAAAAGACACCTGTCCACACACTCAATCAAACAGACTCCAACCTCTCCACAATGGCCAAGACCAGAGAGCTGTGTAAGGACATCAGGGATAAAATTGTAGACCTGCACAAGAATGGGATGGGCTACAGGACAATAGGCAAGCAGCTTGGTGAGAAGGCAACAACTGTTGGCGCAATTATTAGAAAATGGAAGAAGTTCAAGATGACGGTCAATCACCCTCGGTCTGGGGCTCCATGCAAGATCTCACCTCGTGGGGCATCAATGATCATGAGGAAGGTTAGGGATCAGCCCAGAACTACACGGCAGGACCTGGTCAATGGCCTGAAGACAGCTGGGACCACAGTCTCAAAGAAAACCATTAGTAACACACTACGCCGTCATGGATTAAAATCCTGCAGCACACGCAAGGTCCCCATGCTCAAGCCAGCGCATGTCCAGGCCCATCTGAAGTTTGCCAATGACCATCTGGATGATCCAGAGGAGGAATGGGAGAAGGTCATGTGGTCTGATGAGACAAAAATAGAGCTTTTTGGTCTAAACTCCACTCGCCGTGTTTGGAGGAAGAAGAAGGATGAGTACAACCCCAAGAACACCATCCCAACCGTGAAGCATGGAGGTGGAAACATCATTCTTTGGGGATGCTTTTCTGCAAAGGGGACAGGACGACTGCACCGTATTGAGGGTAGGATGGATGGGGCCATGTATCGCGAGATCTTGGCCAACAACCTCCTTCCCTCAGTAAGAGCATTGAAGATGGGTCGTGGCTGAGTCTTCCAGCATGACAACGACCCGAAACACACAGCCAGGGCAACTAAGGAGTGGCTCCGTAAGAAGCATCTCAAGGTCCTGGAGTGGCCTAGCCAGTCTCCAGACCTGACCCCAATAGAAAATCTTTGGAGGGAGCTGAAAGTCCGTATTGCCCAGCGACAGCCCCGAAACCTGAAGGATCTGGAGGTCTGTATGGAGGAGTGGGCCAAAATCCCTGCTGCAGTGTGTGCAAACCTGGTCAAGACCTACAGTTGAAGTGTACCTATGATAAAAATTACAGACCTCTACACACTTTGTAAGTAGGAAAACCTGAAAAATCGGCAGTGTATCAAATACTTGTTCTCCCCACTGTAAATCACAAAGCTCATCCTCAACAACAAAAGAGTGATCAAATCTGTACCCACTTTTAATCCAATGTTACATAAATATTATCTTGGTGAGTCTAAATTCTAACTTGAATTGACAGAATAAGGGCAATATGTTCAAATATTTAGTCTAGCCAAGTTGGTGTGATCACACTGCCAACCTGGCTGTAGCAGAAGGAATGTGTCTGTACAGATTTAGCTACAGTGGGGAGAACAAGTATTTGATACACTGCCGATTTTGCAGGTTTTCCTACTTACAAAGCATGTAGAGGTCTGTAATTTTTATCATAGGTACACTTCAACTGTGAGAGACGGAATCTAAAACAAAAATCCAGAAAATCACATTGTATGATTTTTAAGTAATTAATTTGCATTTTATTGCATGACATAAGTATTTGATACATCAGAAAAGCAGAACTTAATATTTGGTACAGAAACCTTTGTTTGCAATTACAGAGATCATACGTTTCCTGTAGGTCTTGACCAGGTTTGCACACACTGCAGCAGGGATTTTGGCCCACTCCTCCATACAGACCTTCTCCAGATCCTTCAGGTTTCGGGGCTGTCGCTGGGCAATACAGACTTTCAGCTCCCTCCAAAGATGTTCTATTGGGGTCAGGTCTGGAGACTGGCTAGGCCACTCCAGGATCTTGAGATGCTTACGGAGCCACTTACGGAGCCACTCCTTAGTTGCCCTGGCTGTGTGTTTCGGGTCATTGTCATGCTGGAAGACCCAGCCACGACCCATCTTCAATGCTCTTACTGAGGGAAGGAGGTTGTTGGCCAAGATCTCGCGATACATGGCCCCATCCATCCTACCCTCAATACGGTGCAGTCGTCCTGTCCCCTTTGCAGAAAAGCATCCCCAAAGAATGATGTTTCCACCTCCATGCTTCACGGTTGGGATGGTGTTCTTGGGGTTGTACTCATCCTTCTTCTTCCTCCAAACACGGCGAGTGGAGTTTAGACCAAAAAGCTCTATTTTTGTCTCATCAGACCACATGACCTTCTCCCATTCCTCCTCTGGATCATCCAGATGGTCATTGGCAAACTTCAGACGGGCCTGGACATGCGCTGGCTTGAGCATGGGGACCTTGCGTGTGCTGCAGGATTTTAATCCATGACGG